CGAAAAAAAAGTGTGCGTATACTTATATGTATATACATAAACATATGACATTTACACCCATACCATAAACTTTTACCGTGTGTCACCTTTTTATCCGCTTTCGTCCCTTTAATCTTATACGCGGTGGTGATGCTCGTTAGTTGTGAAACTAAGGGGAAAAAAATAATGCTTTCAGTTTAGAGTGTAATACGCTATATGCAAAAAAAAAAAAAAGAAAAAAACGCTCAAAGGGACTGACTTGCAACTAACGCGCTACGAGATTCAAGGAAGCTGGAGATTAGAGTGTGAAAAAAAATTAAAACTTGCTATTTGTACATATGTACATATTTATTCCACAGAGGAAAACGACTCTTTTGGCATTTATGGCGAACCGGAAATAAAAAAAAGGAACAAAAAGAAAAATAAATAAAAAAAAAAACGAATATACACATACGATAAGGTGTCACGTACTCATTTACTGCGATTTAAATTTTATTCATTTTTAATTCAAAAATTATTTTCAATTAATTTGATTGCATTGGAAATTTTATGATAAAACAATTTTTTAAAATTATTTTTCTTTAATATTTTTATTATGATATGATATTTTAAACATTCACTATTTAAAAAAAAACGGTTTTTAATTCTAGAAAGTCAAATACTATTCTTTTAACACTAGGGACTAAAGTAACGTCTTTCAATACTTGTGGGTAAAATGCAAATTTTTCCACACTACGATGTAAAGTAACCTTATTTTAACACTGAGAAAAAAAAATTATTCTTTTTCTAAATTTTGCAGTAAAATGGACATGTCTCACATACATTGAAAAATCTTAAAAAGAGATATTTCAACTTTAAAGTGGAATAATTGAAATTTATGTACTTGCTCAAAATAAAAAAAAATTGAGAATAATAAAGTATGTCAGGAAGTCTGTTAAAATAGCGATAACAAAAAAATTACTTATTCTATGAAAAGGGTAAATGATTTTGGATCAATTTTTCGTGGTTTTGAATGCTCGTGACACTGCTTTTTATGCAGAACATATGATCAAATTCCAATAGGTTGAAAATTTGATGCGCCTAAAGCTAAAATTTCAAACCCATTCCTTGGATTAAAAAAAAAACTTCAAAAGAAAAATGACACGAATGCAGTTCCAATAATACAGGGTGAAAAAAAATTGACAAGTTTCGATATATCTGTACACGCTTTATGGGAGAAGAAATATATATATATATATATATATATATATATATATGTAAAAAAATGTTATATATATACAACAAACGATATATGTTTCAATATACACTGTTCTTTTTATTCAGACAAAATTGTTTTCCTCGATTTCGTTTGAATTATTTTAAAAAATACATTTTTTGAAAATTAATATTTGTAAAAGAAAATGTCATAGACAAATTTTATTTTTTTTAAAAATGTATTTTTTTAACAAATAGATTAATTTTTTTTTTAAATTTATACTTTCATTTTGTGACTTATTAATACAGAGCCAGAGCTACCTAGGAACGTTTTTTTAACACTAGTGAGGAAAATTACATTTTTAACGCTAGAAAGAAAAATCAATATTTTTGTCACTAGAGAAAAAGTGAAGTTACATTTTCAATGCTAGGAAAAAAAAGTGATCTTTTTTAGAACTAGTGAGTGAAACGAATTTTTTAAATCTAGGTAATGAAACAATTTATTTGAACATTAGAGAGTAAAATGAACTTTTTTATTACTAGGGTGGAAAAGAACCATTATTTGGTACTAGGGAGTAAAAAACATTTCCGATTCTAAAGAGTAAAGAATAACATTTTTGGCCACTAGGGAGATAAAATAATTTTTTTTACTACTAGTTGGTACAGTATCATTTTTCGACACTAGGGAGTAAGATAATATTTTTCTACACTAGGAAATAAAGTAACATTTTTTGAAACGAGGGAGTAAAATAATATTTTCCAGCACTAGGTAATAAAGTAATATTTTTCGACACTAGGAGGTAAAATAATACTTTTACTATCCAAGAGTGCTAAAGTAACAATTCAAATCATTATTTTCAAATTTAAATTCATTAAAATTACCTTAAATATTTCTTTCGTCGAAATGACTGAAAATTACAAAATAAAATTAATTATATGAATATTATCAGAAAATTACTTTAATAATATAAATGTGGATTTTTTATTCCAATAAATAAATTTATTCATGTTTTGAGAAAAAAAAATCACGTTAAACATAAAGTACATCAATAGTAGTAAAATTATAAGGTATAACTTGTTGTTGAGGAATGATTGAAATGTCTGCTTGCAATTTGGATCGAATATCAGCAAACGATAATGAGAAGCGAAAGCGGAGTATTGAAATGTTTGCTCTGTTAAAATGCAGAATAATCCAGAAAGGAAGAGAGTGAGAGAGAGAGAGAGAGTGAGAGAGACTTAGTAAATTCCCATACGTCAGAAGACTGTCAAAATACCAAAGATATTCAAAGTTGAAATTGTTGAAGAGTCAGAAGGCGTGTTATCGTTTACGAAAGTAGACTCCCTGTCGAACGTTTGTTCAAGCAAATTGATTCAAAGTTATTCTGCTTCTCATACAGCAAAAGAAAAAAAAAATTGTTCTATTAATGGAAAAATTTTTCCTCTTGAAAATTTTATTCGACATTTTTTTATATAAAGGATAACATTTTTATATATATATATATAAATTTTTTTTCCCTCAATTTACAATGATAAAGTTAACACATTGAAATTTCAGAATATGCCTTTGAAAAATATATTTTCTCAGTAAAAAAGAAGAATTAAATTTTCATGTAAAAATAAAATACAAAAAAAAAACTTATTCAGAAAAATATTCACCAATATTTTCATGATAGTTTTCGCTATATTTAAAGTATAAAATTTAAAAACTAAATATATATATATATACTTGAAAATTCATACATAGGAGAAAAAAAAATGTGTTTCTCGAAAAGCCATTAATTTTTTATGTATACGCTTTTAAGCTGAAGGTTTATCGATAAAACAATAAGAGCGACTGGATTTACTATGAATTTTCTCTTAAAAATCATTGACATATTTGAATAATAAAAAGAAAATTGATTCTTTTTTTTTCCTTGTGAATTTTCAAAACTTCTGAGAATTTTTATTTAATTTTGAAACTAGTACAAATTTAAAAATGTGATTATTTCACATTTACGTGGAAATAAAATCATATCAATTAAGAAGAAATAATTAATATTTGGGATCAAATAATTCTACAGTTAAAAACCTGCGATCAATATAGCAATTGTAAACAGATGCTGGGAAAAGGGAGAGAGTTGTCTAATTTAACTTTGACTCTATAAAAGAATCAATTTATTTTTAACTGCATTTTTATAATCAATTAATTTACGTAAATTTATTATTCTAACACAATTTCAATTTTTAAAATTTTCTGCAAAAATCGATCAAACCAATATTCAATAAATTTTGAATTTAAATTCTCTTTTACTTTTCCCTATAATATAATCAAGAGATTGATTAAAAAAAATCATTGATTTTACTTTCATTAACATTCATCAAATATTTGTTTATATATGTATGTATATATGAGGTATTCTACGCCAAATCAGACACTATCTACTTTGAATTTACATCTGCGATTTTTTTTTTTTTTTTGAAACTTTTTTTTTCTTTTAATACTAATTGAGACTAGCTTTCATGATTTTTTTCAATTTCTTTTTTCCAAGCCGTTTATGGAATATGAATTTTAAAAAATTTCAGAATTTTAATAATTTTTATTTTTCAATGCTCATAACTTCATTTAAAAATGCATTAATTTTAAAAGATTTTTTTTCAAAATGTGCATTTTTTGATGTATTTTTCGAAAAATAGGTACAAAAAAAATTCTAGAAAAATAATATACAATAATTTTTTGCACTTTAAAAATTAAAATTATATTTTTAAACCTCTTTGTATCATTTAATTTAAAAAAAATAAAAATAAGAAAATATCTTTTTACAAAAATTTTAAGCCTTGTCCGGTTGTGGGCAAACAATTTTTTCAATATTTTCAAAATTTTTGGTTTTTTAAAAAATTTTCCCTTTTTTTATGTACTACGTTTATTTTATGTATTTTGTGCGCTACTTACGAAAATTATACTGACAATAACCGCATAGAGTTTTGTTTTGAAAGCCATGAAAAACAAAATTTGTGTTTTTTTTCGTTTATTGAGTAAAATATGCAAGATTTTATGTTGATATAGATGTAGATTATCTCATCTAGATAATATCTAGATTATCTCATGTAGATGATATCTAGATTATCTTAACTAGATAATACCTAGATTATCTTAACTAGATAATACCTAGATTATCTCATCTAGATAATATCTCAGCTAGATAATACCAAGATTATCTTATCTAGATAATAACTAGATCATTTCATCTAGATAATATCTAAATTATCTCATCTAGATAATAACTAGATCATTTCATCTAGATAATATCTAAATTATCTCATCTAGATAATATCTAGGTTATCTCATCCAGATAGTATCTAAATTATTATTAGAGATAATCTAGATAATATCTAGATATTCTCATCTAGATAATACATAGATTATCTAATTTAGTTAATACCTAAATTATCTCATCTAGATAAGAACTTGATTATCTTGTTTAGATTATATAAAGATAATCTCATCTAGATAATGTTATTTAAATAAAAAACTTTTTAAATTATTTTATCTAATAATATTATCTTGTTAAGAATTTTCTATTTATTATTAGATAATATTACCTAGCTGAAGGCGTCTAGTTATTATTTTGTTTTTGTCGTCTGAAGAACCTTATCTGGATAGTTTTATTTAGATTTTTTTGTATTTTGTAATTATTTTTTTTATACTATCGTATATGATAATCTGAGGAAATTGTTTTACCGATATTCTGCAAATATATTATATTAAATACCAAAACTCTTTTCATCATAAAATTTATACAGTTACATAGCTTAGTTTTTAAACTAAAATAAAACAAGATTTCACTTAAAAATAAGTACAAGACCATTTTTCGCTCCTCTGGTGTGTAAATCGATAAAACATTGACTGTTTATAAATTGCACCTCTCAATTCACGCTAATGACATTGATTTTTAACCTTGTCCTCTTGAAATAAAAAAAAAGGTTGTTTTATGCGAGCCATTTGATTTTGCGATATGAAGAAAGGTCATATTCTGGTTTAAATATTGTCGACAATAATTTCTAATGCATAACGTAGTGAACGATGATCTTGGCCTGTTGAAATGAAAAGTATAATATACTAATGTGAATTTAAAAAAAATAAGAGAAAATAATAGAAAATAAAAGAAAACTAAGAAGAATGTCTATGTAGTGTGAGTGTAATGGTGAAGGGGGTCACACAGGATGCAGCTAATGACTTTGAACTCTCTCTTGATGTTTGACCTCGTGTTCCTGTTCTTCCTGTTTCTTGTGATGGTGTCCTGTCTAGTCTATTATATACCAGGATCGCGAGGTCATGCTGCGACTGCCGCCGCCGTCGCCGCGTCCGTTTCTTACGAGGTCATTGAAGCAAGAACACCACCACGTACAGATGCACCAATCGACAATGTTTGAGGTGAGGTTAAATCGAGTGAAATTAATGATACACGACGACACTCAATTTTATCAAAAACTCTCCGACATATATACATATATACACTGTGTTATATTGATTCCATCAGCACAGTATTTATATAATGAGAGTGAAAAATTATGTCGCTGATTGACTTTTCCTCTTATAGATATACACTAGAATTTGGGGCGCATAAAACTTGTTAAATGTAAACAAAATCGAAAATCTAAGCAATTATTGACTAATGGCCGTCTTTTTTTAAAATAAAAAAAAAATTATTTCTCTCTATATGTGAAAATGAAAACTTTATATATAAAACTACAGAGTGACACCAATATTTGACTGATATGATCAAAAATTCGATTACTTTCGATCTAATCTCAATGCCAAACTTATTTTTGTTAAATTTGGAAATGAAATTTTTTATAGTTTTCTATGTTACCGACCGGTTATAGATTTAACATGTTAGTATACAGCGCCACTGCTGACAGTATCCACTATACCTATATACAGTAAGAAAAGTACCATGGTAGTCATAGGAAAGCATGCGTTACGCATAAGTTTGTCTCACTCGCACTCATGGGCTGTGACTACCATGGAACTTTTCTTACTGTATGTGTAATAGTCAAAATAAACATGGTTACCGAAGCTGTCACTTTGTTTTGTTTTCGTATCGTTATTAGGCTGCGTCTACAATAGATTAAAAAATGTGTAACGATCGTGTAGTGTAGTGTAGTGTAAAGTCGTGACTTAGAATATCGCAAATTAACTGCTGTTAATAAACAAAAACATAACCTCAAATTCAGATTTTTAATATTAAAAATAAAAATTAATAATTAAATTAATATTAAAAATCTGAATTTGAGGTTATGTTTTTGTTTATTAACAGCAGTTAATTTGCAATATTCTAAGTCATACAAGATACAAACGACTTTATACTACACTACACTACACGATCGTTACACATTTTTTAATCTATTGTAGACGCAGCCTTAGAGGAAAAAAATGTGGAGCGATCGTGTAGTGTAGTGTTGGTAGTCACAGTATTGCCAATTGCTGAAATTTTGCACCGGAATAATATCAAAACATAACCTCAATCATGGATGTATTCTGTTCAACAATTTTTATAATTAACTGGTCCACCACAATTCTTGAACATTAGAGTAAATCCATAATTGAGGTTATGTTTTGATATTATTCCAGTGCAATATTTCAGCAATTGGTAATATGTGGCATTAAGTTTTGAATATTTTTAAATTAAATTGTTTGGAAATTATTGTCAGTTTATTCTAATTTTATGCACTGAAAAAAATATTTATTTAATTCCTAATAATCGGTTACTTGATCATTATCGAATAAATATTTATTTGTATTAAATAATTATTATTTGAGTCAATGAAATGGTATTTGTTTCAAATACAAAAATTATTGGTTCAAATACAATTTATTTAATTCAAATAAAAATTATTTAGTTCAAGTACAATTTATTTAATTCAAATAAAAATTATTTGGTTCAAGTGAATATTTATTTGATAATAGTCAAGCAACCGATTATTTGAGTCAAATAAATTTTTTTCAGTGTCTTTATGTACAAAATAAATACTAAATAATAATCTTATAAAATATATTTTAATTAATTAAAAAAGACGTTGTCACGATCAAAATTCTCCGCCCGTGAAATAAATACAGACACCCGCTTTAATTTTTTATATATCAATTTTCTATTTTCACATAGAGAAAGAAAAAATTTTATTTTTATTTTAAAAAAAGGCGGCCACAAGTTGAACAATAATTGATTACATTTTCATGTTTGTTAACTTGGGTTTAATGAGCTACTGACTAGTTTTCCTTATCTTCATTGATATGGTCCTTTCTAGAGAAACTAGCTAGAATGTTACGCTGTTCCCGACCAATATCTTACTTAGGGTAAAATTTATTAGGGCCTTGTCAGTTTTTCTTTAAACTGCCCTATTTGGGGCACATGATTGTCACATAAAAATCAGTAGTTAGAATTTTCATTTTCAACAATTTTATTAGATACAATTATTTTATAGACAAATTTTCATTTTTCGAATTAACATTAAAGGGCAAGTCCAACATGTGAAATGTAAACAAACATGAAATGTAAACAAACCATGCACATTTTTTCGCATTTCTCATTTGCGTAGAAAATAAAAATTGTCGTTTTCTTTATGAAAATGGTATATTAATGTATTAAACTTGGTAACTATACTTTATTTAACTTATTATATGAAAAAATAAGTACAATTATAATGAAATGAAATGTACACTGAATTAGCAATTTTTTCAAGGTTTCGAAAAAAAACCATTTGAGTACTTTTAATTTCATTATAATTGTACTTACTTTTTCATATTATAAGTTAAATAAAGTATAGTTACCAAGTTTAATACATTAATTTACCATTTTCATAAAGAAACCGACAAATTTATATTTTCTACACAAATGAGAAATGCGAAAAAATGAGCATGGTTTGTTTACATTTCATGTTTGTTTACATTTCACATGTTGGACTTGCCCTTAATTTAATTTTAATTTTTAATTTTCTTTAAAATTTAATAAATGTTAAAAATTTTAAAACAATAAAAAGGCACGTATAAAAAATTGATTCCTTGAAAATATATCGGTTTATCGAACAATAATAAAAAAAATTATCATTTAACAATTCTGAATATAAAAAAGTTAATAAAATTTAGTTTGATAAACGGGACGCATGAAAAAGTTCTTAAACAAATTTTTGAGAATTATTTTTATTAATTATCTTAAGAATTTGTTAATTTTCTAACAATGGAGAAAATATTATAACGTTGTTTTCGAGACATATGATTTATCACAATAATAAATGAATAAATTTATTTCATTTCAAATAAATTTTTTGAAGTTTTCTTTACATTGTGTCGACCGAATGTATCTGACAAATATATTATAGTTATACGTTTCGTTGAGTTAAAGTTTTTATCAAAAAAACAATTCTCTTCTTTATGTCCAAATTTAATCTAGAACAAATTTTTTTTAGGATTGTATTATTTTATTTTTAATTCTTATTTATTTAGATATTACAACTATTTTTATTAGTTAAGATTAATTAAAAATTATTATACACATAATGACCTCCATAAAGTCGGCGTCGACGCTCAACGTCGAAAATTATTTTTCACGCACGGAGAGACCGCCGGTTGGAAAAATTACTAAAAAGATTTACAAGTAGCGGAAATAAGGTTACTTTGTCATATATTGCTGTAGGAAATCGAAAATTCTATTAGCAGCATACTTAATAAAACCTGTATACTATAGTAAAATTGCACACAAATTGGAATAGAAATTACTATAGTCTACAGCAATGTTTGACAATGTAACCTTATTTCCGCTACTTGTAAATTTTTTTAGTAATTTTTCTAACCGGCGGTCTCTCCGTGCGGGACCAAGAATATAAAATTATTTTTAAAACGGTTTTGCACAGTAAAAACAAAGTCTTAAACCGTTTACACCTTAAATTAAGCCCATATATTTTGCATAAGTCTGTCCTTTTTTAATTGGTCTGACTCCGTTTACACCTTAAATTCAGCCTCAAAAATAGGCTGAAATCAAGATTTCTTTTTTAGTGTGTGGGTCCACATAATACCTTGAAAAATATTTCCCTAGGCATTAATCAGACGAAAAATATTTTAAAAAAAATAATTTAACATTTTTGGTCCTTCATGTAGGTACATAATGAAACTTAAATCTATAAGAATAAAAATTTACACACTCATCGGGGATCGAAACAAGGACCTTGCAGACGCTACGTGTATATGTAACTTACCACGGAGCCATAGTAACTTGATGATAATTTATTTATACAAAATTTAATGTTTTAGTATAAAGTTTGTCACAGCATCTCCTTCAATGCATCCAAGAGTGCAATCGCATCCAAGAAAATTACATTGTCCTTTGCTACAAAATTGATTTTCTGGTGGGTTTCCATCGCCACATACGGCTGCGTAACAATCTACAGTCAAAGTTGTGAATCCAGAAAATAACCGATAAACAAAATCAATATCCCATGCTCCATACGTTGAACATTTAGTGCCAACTGGCTTTTTAAACTCTATCCGACTAGACCGGCAACAATCATTAGCTCGATTAAAATTTGGAAATGTTGCAAATATTACAAGAAACAGACCAATACTCAATTTAAACATTTTTTTTTTAAATTTCTACGTACACTTGAAATGAAACGTTTGTAATTTAATATTGAAATATCGTATTATATATACTTTATTTTTTATATACTGTAATTGAACAATCATAAAAAATATAAGTATCTTCTATTTAAAATTTCATAAATTATTAAACAGAAATATTTCCTTCTGTTTACATATTTGACTAGCTGAAGGATATTTATCAAAATTGTCAAAAAAATTGTGAAAAATAAATTATCAAGTAGACATAATTTATAAATAATTATTAACTTGTCCTACTTTATGTAAGAATAAATACACGAAAAAAATGAATTATGTAAAGATAATGCCAAAACCCAACCAAAAATTTCAGTATTATACCAGAGTTAACTACTGGCGCCAGTACTGGTTCAGTATTGGCTGCCGAAGCCAATAGTCTGTACTAAACCAGTACTGGTATTTTCTTTGTATCTGTACTGGTGCAGTACCACCCTCCCAGTACTGGCAAACCAACTGCCTTAAAAAGTGCTACTTTATCTGCCCAAAACAGGCACAAAAAAGACACTTTTTCATGTCAATGGCGAAAAAATAAAATTTTTTATAAAAAAATTATTAATTTTTAAAATAAAAATTTAAAAAAATTTTCTTGACAACACTTGTTAAAAAAATTAAAAAACAACTTTTATTTTATTAAAAAAATTTTTCAAAAATTTATTTTGATGCAAATAATTAAAGTGAATAATAAAATAACTAATTATATAATTATATACATTATAATTATTTTATAAACATTTTTATTTTTACTGAACTATTTTTATATATTATAAAAACTTTGGTTTTATAATAAACATAATTTTATATTTTTTTTTTTGATTTTTTTAAATAATAATTTGCATATATATTATACTTACTAAAAAATAAAAAACTCTTGGTGTTTTCGATTTTATATATAATAAAATATTAATTAGTTAATTGACTAATTTAATTAATATTTAATTTGTGTTGGGTTACTAAAAATTTCACACACTTTTTCCTAAAAAAAAGTATTGGAGCAGAGATTTCACTATTGCAGTGAAACTTATCTCTGTTACAGTTAAAGCTTTCTTTTCGTATATACAATAAATTATAAAACTACCAGTACTCAGCCAGTACTGAACCAGTAGTGGTTACCAGTACTGGTGCCAATACTGGTAAAATGTTATCATCTCAAAGTTACGCCAACTCTGGTGCCAATACTGGGTGCCAGTACTGCGCCAACACTTGTCAGTACTGCGCCAGTACTGCGCCATTAGTAAATTTTTGATTGGGAATGAATGTTTGCTAAAAAGAATTTGCTACAGCATCAAAAATCTACGAAGCTGAAGTAGACAACGTTTATGATAAACAATTTTAAAAAAAAATAATTTTTTAAAAGGAAAAATTCTATAATTTTCTTCCTAAAAAATATTTCTTGTAGTTTTCATTAATCAAAATATTATTAAAAAATAGTTTTAGGGCAAAAAATTATAGAATTTTTCCTTTTAAAAAATTATTTCTTTAAAAATTGTTTATCATAAACGTTGCGTACTTCAGCTTCGTTAAAATTTTTGCTAGAGCTAATAAAAACATTAGCTGTAACGTGTATAAAAAAATAAAATAAACAATTTAAATCTCATAGCAAACTTATTCGCTGTTCCAAACTGAACGAGCAAAGTTTGCTGTGGTAGAACAACAATCATTCTCCCCACCAAACTTTAAACAAAAACTCTTCTAGATTGAAAAATATTAAGAACTGTTCATTTTATAATGAGTTTGAGTGGTAATTTTAATTAAATTGGGAATTTAAGAAAAATTTGAAAAATATATTAGATAAATATATTTATTTCATTTTGATGTTACATATTATGTTTTACATTTTTATAATTAAAATCAATTTGGAAAATATATATTACATTTATTTTTAATATTTCACGGCTCATTTATTAAAACAATTCTTTTTATCGACATATTTAGTGTAAGCTTAAGAATTATCAAGATTCTTATCAAATAAAAAATTAATTTAAATAATATGTAAAAATTCTGACGCAATTATTTACTTTTCTAAATAAAAGGTAGTTAAACATTAAGTCATTTGTATTCAAAATTATGACTATTTGACGAAACAATGAATTTCAATTTTTGAACAGTGAATTTAAAAAAATTTTAATTTTAAATACCATTTAGTGAGAAACTAAAATAATTTTTTATTTTATGTTTAACTTACGATTTGAAACTTATGAAAATTTTACTAAAAATATTTTAAAAATCTCTTCAATAATAATGTTTTCAATAAATTTGAAAACAAAAAAATTCTGTTAATAATGTCAATGGTATTTTCTTAAAATTGTACAGTAATAGAAAAAAATGATTATTTGGTATTAATAAAATTATATATATTTTTAATTTTTATAGTTTAGATATTATTTTTTTTTTTTATATGTTTCGTTAAGTTAAGGTTTTCATCCAGATAAAAATTTTCTTTTTTATGTCCAATTTTTTTGGTCGAAATCTATAATAGAATAATATATTTATAATTTTCTATAAAAAAAAACATTAATTATAATTTTTGTTTTAAAATATTTTATTAGACTTTTTATTCATAAGAATTTTAATTCAAGCGAATTTTAATTTAGCAGATTTATCATTCAATCAAATTCAAAATACCAAAATGGATTAAAATAAGCAAAATTGGATTAAAATAATAAGCGTTGCAGCTTATTTCAATGACTTTTAATTTTCTGTGTAGTTAAAAATTTTTGTTTAGTTAAAAATTTGTTTAAAAAGAAATTCTGTCAAATGCTAGTTCAAAAAATGAAAAATCGTCTAAAAAATAATTATTTCTAATAAAATTCTTTAAAAATGAAAATTTAAATTAATTATTTTTATACAGAATAATCATTAGCAGATTCTATATGTAGGCAATTTACCTTGCCTTGGTTACTCGAATTAAAATGTTTTAGTATAAAGTTTGTCACAGCATCTCCTTCAATGCATCCAAGAGTGCAATCGCATCCAAGAAAATTACATTGTCCTTTGCTACAAAATTGATTTTTTGGTGGGTTTCCATCGCTACATACGGCTGCATAACAATCTTCATTCCAGGTTGTGAATGCAGTAAATAATCGATATATAAAATCAATATCCCATGCTCCATACGTTGAACATTTAGAGCCAACTGGCTTTTTAAACTCTATCCGACTAGACCGGCAACAACTAGTAGAGTCTTTTTTGATATTTTTATGAATTATTACTCCATAGTGTGCTTTTGGAAATGTTGCAAAAATTACAAGAAACAGACCAATACTCAATTTGAACATTTTTTTTTTTATTTCTATATCACGGAAATAATTTCGAGCCTTCAGTTGCGTTGCTTGAACTACTAAGTTCAAATGATATACTCGTATGCGTGCCAGAAGTCTCTGACTATGTCACGGCTGGTTATATGTTATTATCAACTTTTTTTTAACAATAGTTCCTACTGTAAATTTTTTAAAATCTATGAAAACCCCTTCGTTTCAACAGCTAAAATCGTTGTTGTAAATTTTCAATGTTTTACTTTTTTAAACAAAGCGCGTGGCGCGACGTTATTGCAGCTCTAGCTATACGAACAAATAGAAAAATATTTGTTAATTTAATTTGTTTATAAAATGTAAACTTTTATTCGTATAATTTTTTTCATTTAAAAAGAACAGTGTTTTTAACTTGTTTTTACTATTTTACAATCGCTTATAGCAATAGAACACATTTTCTATAAAATGGTTACTTTTATTAAAATTTGCATTAAAAAAATAATTATAAACAAATAAAAATGTAATAATCATATTAATCTCTAAATAAAGTTATTTTATCTTATCGAGTATTTGAATCAAATAAATTTTTTTTTCAGTGCAGTAATAGAAAAATATTATCTTTTTTATTATTAAAATATTATTTATTTTTATAGTTGAGATTATTAATTTTTTTTATAAATAAAATATTATTTACCGAGATATAGTTTACAAAAAAAAAAAATTCTGCACTCGTAAAATTACGTGCCAAAAATAATCTACGTTGTGCGGATGTTGCGGAAATGGGTACTAATGACATTGTATGTTTTCGGCAATCATTCAGAAAATTTTTTTTTTTTAAGTTGAAACATTCAACACGGAAAAAAAGTAATGACTAAAATTGAAATAAATTTATTCCAAAGAAAATTTAAAAAATACATCTAGATTAGACACAATAAAAAATGATGCAATAAATTGTGTTCAATTTTGTGTAAAACGTTATAACAAAAATCGCCAAATGCGCTCATTTCTAATTTGGAGATGTGTCTTTTCATTAGAAAAAAATAAATACAGTACACATTAATGGTTTAAAGTTTTAGAATTTTTCTAAATAAATCATATAATAAAAATAAAATAATATTTAAAAAACGAGATTATTATATAAATATATGTATACTTCGAGGGGGAATTTACTCCGGTAGTCAAGTGTACACTTGCCTGGTAATACTCGGTAGTACCTGTAATATCTGTAATAATTTGGAATGTCTTGTAATAATAAGTATTATTGTGTAATATCATGTAATACTGTGTAATACTTGTAATATTGCGGTTTTATAAAAATGTAAAGAAAATCAAACCAAAAAATGTTAATATAAGTAAAAATTTTAAACATACTTATTCAAATGTAGCGCGGGAGTTGATGCTGAAGTATAACAATTTTGCCATAGGTGGCTACATTTGAATAAGTATGCTTAAAATTTTTACTTATATTAACATTTTTTGGTTTGATTTTCTTTAAATTTTTTAAGGTATTACACCATAAAACCACAATATTACAAGTATAACACAGTATTACATGATATTACACAATAATACTTATTATTACAAGACATCACAAAATATTACAGATATTACAGGTATTACCGGAGTATTACCAGGCAAGTGTACACTTAACTACCAGAGTAAATTCTTCCTCGCTTTGACTTAACAAAATAGTTTATTTAATCTATTTTATTATTTTTAATTGACAAAATTAAAAAGTTTATAGTTAATTTAAAATAAATAATTAACTTAACAAAAGAATGTATCTAAATAAGCTTGATAAAATTATTTGTTTGAATAATAT